TTATTTTTTTAGTGACTGAAATTTTAGTCACTAAATCAGTTACTAAATATAAAAAAATCAGTCACTAATTTCAGTCACTATTAACCATTTTTGTAGTAAATAATTACATAAATTAAATATAGATTAATTAAAAAAATAAATCAAATAATAAAGTGACTGAAATAGTAACCGATTTTTTGTGACCGAAAATTCGGTTACTATTTCGGTTACTAGACTAAAAAATAATAATTTGGTTACTCGATTCGGTCACCGATAGTAACTAAATTTTTCGGTCACTCGATTTCGGTTACTATTTGACATTTTTCTAGTAGTGCAACCTTCTGAGCTTGTCATTTAATTCTAGTATTCAGTCTTTCATGAAACTGAGTATCCTTTCTCCATCAGCTGTCCCATACTCAAAATATTACTCTTGAGATTTAGAACATAAAACACATCTTGGATCGACTCGACTCAACCATCCTTCTGTAAATAATTGATTGTGCCTCGATCGTTTACCGAGACCCTTGAAGCATCTCTAAACGAAACATGACAGTCCTCAAATTTCTTCAATTTGCTGAATAGGTACTCGTCCCCACACATATGGTTACTTGCACCCATATCCAAATACCATACTTACATGTGATTGATATCTTCCTGAGCGTCATCACTACTATTTCCCATGTTCAACTTTGTCATCAACAATGTTACTTCAGTTTCCTCCTCCTTTGTAAGATAGGTCTCACTTACCTTTTGACATTCTTTCGCATAAGGAGCATTTTTTCCAAAATTAAAGCATTTTTTCGAGTAGCAATCTTTCACATAGTGAGCATACTTGTCACACTTGAAACATTCGAAACTTGAGTGGTTCGTTAACCAACCTCCTCTCGGATCACATCCTCTTCCTCGCCAATTTTGTTGAGCCCCCTCTTCCTTCTCGTCACCTCGACCACCGAATTTACCTCGAGCTCCTCGACCACCTTGGGATTGACCATTACATCATCTTCCTCTATTATGCTGAGAATAGAGCACTTTCTCCTTGACGTGGAGCACTTTCGCACTCTAGTCCTCATCCTCATTATCTTTCTCCATTCGATGTTCATAGGCTTCAAGAGATCCGATAAACTCTTTTATTGATAGGTCAGACAAATCCTTTGCTTGTTCTGTCGTACACACCACATTATTAAAGGATTTCGCTAATGACATCAAGATATTTTCAACAATATGTTTTGTGGAAAATACTTCTCTATTCTGATTAAGCTGTTTTGCCACGTTTTCAACACGCTAACCCCTTCATCTTCATACTCTCCATGTTGCTTCTTAGTATCTGACACTGAATCCGTGTGACTCGATCATCTTTCTTATGCTTCTTCTTTAACTCATTGGATGTCGACGTGACTCCTACAATCTTCTCAAAGTCAGAAAATTTTACAACTTAAAACATAAAAAATAGAGTTGCATTGTCTTGCTCACGTTTCTTCTCTAACTCCTTGAGTACATTGATCATCAATTTGTCTGTGTTCTCTAGTTGTTCAAAACCTTCCTCCACAATCTTCTAAACACGAGCTTTGAGGACAACCTTCATCTAGGCACTCCATATATCATAGTTGATGTCCTTCGTCAGTCGGGGCATAACTACAACAACACTCGCTATAGCAACCATTCACACTCTTTTTATGACTCTCAAACCCTAGCTTTGACTCTTCTAAAGAACCCTAGTTCTTCTAAAAACCCTAACTCTCACTCTTCTGAAAAAACCCTAGTTCTTCTAAAACTTTGACTCTCACTCTTCTGAAGAACCCTAATACTTCTAAAAAACCCTAGCTTTGATCCCAATTTGATAATAAAAAATTTCTCAAAAATTGTAAAATTGTCTATTATTGATTTTTTGTCATATCTCATATAATGAATACAATCGTGTAACCGTCCCAGTATATTCCTAAAATCAAATAATAACTACCCAAGATATTAATGATATCAAAATATTTCAACTAACTCGTAATTATCTTCTTATTCCAACAAACTCTTAAAACTAATTATTTATTTTTATTCAATAAAATCCAACGCATGTCACAATAGTTCCATATAACCTGAAAAGCTCAATTCCATCGGTTAGACATCTTGAGTGCTTCTTCTAGAGTTTGCTGGCTTTGATCTTCACCATCTCCCTATACTTTACAAATCTTACAAGAGTCGTTTGCATGTTGTGCACCTTCAAAACTCGCTTAATTTGCACTAGTACAGAAATCACTTTTAACATCGGCCTTTCTACATCGGTTCTTTATGAACCGATGTAGAAAGTGAATTCAAGACTTTCAACATCGGTTTAGTTAGGAACCGATGTAGAAAACACTTTTTACATCGGTTCCCAGATGAACCGATGTAAAAAACACTTTCTACATCGATTCCCAGATGAACCGATGTAAAAAAACACTTTCTACATCGGTTCCCAGATGAACCAATGTAGAAAGTCTTTTATAAAATTAAGAGAATTGTCACTGGCAAGATTCAAACTCAATACCTTAGAGTCGGAGGCTGATACTCCAACTACTAAGCTACCAGGATTTTCTGATAATAACTTATACATAAATTATATTTATATACAAATAAAAATGTATATCCATGTAAATATATAAATATAAAATATATAAATACAAATACAAATATATTTATATATTTATATGTTGGATGTGAGAGCGCGCTCGAGAGTGAAAGTGTGTGTCAAGTGGGTTTTCAAAATTTGATGTCAAATTTGTGAGCAAGTATCTTTATATGAATTTGTAATTTAATGATAGAATATAATCTTTATAATTTATTTATAATAATATAGAATATAATCTTTATAATTAATTTATATAATGATATAAAATAAAGAAAAAAATTTATTTTATATCATTATATAAATAAATTATAAAGATTATATTTTGTCATTAAGTTATAATCCATATAAAGAGACCCGCTCACAAATTTGACATCAAATTTTGAAAATTCACTCGACACACACTTTCATCCTCGAGCGCGTCCTCACATCCAACATATAAATATATAAATATATTTGTATTTGTATTTATATATTTTATATTTATATATTTACATGGATATACATTTTTATTTGTATATAAATATAATTTATGTATAAGTTATTATCGAGAAAATCCTAGTAGCTTAGTGGTTGGAGTATCGACCTCCGACTCTAAGATACTCTGGTTCGAATCTTACCGAGTGACTAATAATTCAAATTCCTAAAAAATACAAATAATAAAAATATAATATAAAAGTGTGAATACATAAAATAAATAAAAATATTAGGTTTTCTATATCGGTTCCTTACCATCGATGTGGAAAGTCACACTTTCTACATTAAAAGCCTATTTTGTACTAGTGTTGGTCACATTTGGTTTTCAAACTTTAACCAGCTAGTCCTGCATATGATCTCTGCTATATTCCTTGATGAATCTCGTTCCACAATTTCAGTAACTGCCAAAATATCTTTTTAACTTAAAATACATGATTATGATACTTTCAAAATGTGAAACCAATACAAAAATAATAACAAGCTTGCATGTCATTAAACACTTCAACCAATTAAAATTATATGGATTGGAGGGGGAGAGAGAGACTTTCTCCTAGATATTTTGATTTCTGAAGGTAAAGTTGTGTGGAATTGTATGCATAATTATAAATTGAAAAGGTAATGGAAAAGGTAAAATCAATTTTGTTGTTCCAAACTGGAAAACAAGTATGTCGATTTATAATATTAATATTCCTCATCTCAACATAAAAATCTATGTCTATTTGATATAGATGTGGCCTGAAAGTTTGTGGTCAATAGAATGTTTGAAAAACCAATTTCAGGGTCAGATAACAAATTGAAGAAAAATAAAAATAAAGTCAATGATATAGTGAAGGTTAGAATCACATTATATATATATATATATATATATATATATATATATATATATATATATATATATATGTATATATAATGTGGACCTTCCACATGAAGATAGAAGCCAACCTTGAAACTAAACCAGATTAACATGGATATCTGAGTAGAAAAAAGAAAAAGTGTTATTATCAACATGCTTAGATAGATGATGAGCTTCAGTAGCATTCCATTTTTTTAATTGCTCTCCACATTTGTGGGAAATCACAGTCGAAGACCCATTAGAAGAACTGTAGGGACAAATTTCATTTGTCTACTCAATAAGTTTCTCTTTGCTTTTGATGAACAGAATTTCTAGATATAAAAAGTCGGAGTATTCAACAACTAAATACAGAACCAACCAGAATGTCTAGTGAATAAAAGATATTTTGACGGAGCTCAACATGTTCCAAACCAATTGTAAAGCCACTGCGACCGTGAAGGCATACCAACTGCGATAGACGAAGGGAAAGAAAAAGTGTGATTGTGAATGTATTAGAAGAACAAGGAAAAGAAAATGGGTTCGGTTCGCACGTATATATATATATCATAATAATAAATTATTAAATTAAATATTACTGATGTAAATCCTTTAAATTTTATTATATTTTATTAAATAATGTTTAAAATAGATAATATTTTTTTATTAATACTCCTTGTGATACAAGGAAACTTTGACACGTGTTCATAGAAACATAAATCATATATTTGGAAGCTTTGTTCATAAATTTGGAAGCTCTAATCTCAGATTTGGATACATTAATTTGTTTTGTTTCTCGTGTAACCACGAGGTGCATTTAAGGTGAAAAGACAGGAAAGCGTACATAAACACTGAAACATCACATACTTCAAAAGCGTTTGAACTTCTCGGTTCTCAATTCTACACTCTTTCCTGCAAGAAAATTCGGGTTCGAAGACTTTATCTCGAACAAACTCTTATCAAGATCAGGAGAAATGCAAGTTCTAAAGAAAAGAAAGTAGCAAACTTGTTGTAAGTTCAAAAATATTCTTTTCCAATAGGGTTGTTTGTTGTCAGATTGGTAGATTGATGTAACTCTCCTTCGGCTTTTCCAGGTACTAACTGATCTTCATCTACAGTATGGAACCATCACAGGACACCATTATTGAAGCAAAAGAAGAACTCATGGTTTCACCGTTGTCTGGTAAAAACCCAGTTCGAAGAACAGCTTATTTTATCAAACCCTGCGTGGAAGATCCAGCAAATCTTCCTCCTTCCATGTTCTCTTCTGGAAGAACAGCCACTGTCATTTCCGACCCTGCAAAGCTGCCACTAGAAGTGAGATACAATGGATGGTTTTATCCACATCGAGAATGGAACATATGGGTCCAACAGATGCAACACAAATATGAATATATGTGGATACAAGCTGGGATAGACCAAGCTATCAAAGCTTCTACTTATCAAATACGTAGGAGTGATGAGTTGATTCTTGAGCTTGCTTACAGGTGGTGTTCAAAGACCAACACGTTTGTGTTTCCATGGGGAGAAGCAACTATAACGCTGGAGGACATGAAGGTTTGTTGGGGTTACTCTGTCATGGGATTGCCTTTCTCTAGCCCTCTTGTGAGTGATGAGGAAAAGGAAGTAGAGCAAGGGTTGATTAAAGTGTATAGGGAGTTCTTCAAATCGAAGGCCAAAAGGGCAAATCATAATCCATGGATGAGGTATTTCATGAGTAATGAGAGCCAACTGGAGCATGAGGCATTCTTGTCTTTGTGGTTGTCGAGGTTTGTTTTCCCTGGTAGATCATGTCAAACCATTTTGAAAAGTGTTTTTCCTATCGCCATACATTTAGCAAGAGGCACTAAACTAGCTCTTGCACCTGCTTTATTAGCCATCATTTACAGGGATTTGAGTTTGCTAAATAACAAAATCAGAATTGTCACAACACTGGAGTTGGAAGTTATTCTGTGGGCTCCTTTTCAGTTGGTCCAAGTTTGGGCATTGGAGAGATTTCCAGCGCTGCAGCCGCGTCCTTATGTAGTTGAGCAAGGCCAACTCTTGATGGCTAAATGGCACTCAGTGAAAATGGTTAAACATGCCAACATGAAATTGATTTTGGACTCTTCAAAAGGTGGAAATGGCTTTATTTGGCGCCCATACGAGAATTCTCCTCCTCTTCAGCTTTACGATGAAAATGGCAGGTGGGTATGCAAAAATCCCAATTTTGATGATGAATTAGAATCCTTTGCTCGCTGCTTGAGGGTCTCAGAGTTGGTGGGCATAGAGTGTATAGAACAGTACTGCCCAAATCGTGTTGCTATGCAGTTAGGGATGGATCAAGACATTCCTGCTATGCTAGCACCTCGCAAAGAGAATCCTTGGATATGTTATAGTCAGCCAGTAACAGATACAAATTTGTACATTGCATTCTGTGCCTGCAATCAACCAAATGTCACTTCTAGATACTATCGTTGGTGGAAGCAATCAAATTCAAGCAAGCAAGGAAGGAAGCATTACGATTTTGTTGTGAGTAGCTTAGAACATGTGATCCCAATATCAGTATATATGAACAAAGAGCGCAGCGGATCCTATGGCCCACCACCTGGTTTTACTTCCAAGATTAAGAAAAAAAAAGTGGATTTTGATGAAATGGGAAAGGGTTCAATCGTTGAGTTATCCAGTTGTTCGAGTGAAGGTTCATGTCTTGGTGATGAAGAAGTTGAAAATGGCCAGGTTTTGTCTAGTCCTCTATCTGTTGTTTTCCCATCATTAAGTGCTGAAAAAGCAAGAAGTCACGACATGAATGGTGTGAAGGTCCAGAGTTTATTTTGTGATAGAGGTGGTGTTAGTGACATGGAAAGGAAAGATGCAAGCCCTTGTGTAGAAGAAGTAGCTTCTAATCTTGAAAGCCGGGTTGGGAAGCTTGTAAGAGTGATTGGGGAGCTTAAAGCAGCAAAATTAGGTCATAAAGTTCAAAATATTGGACATAATGTCCTTTTGTAATGTAGACCAAGAATCCTTTTTTTTGCCATTGCAGAACATAGTTGCAAACTTCAAGTAGTAGAACAGAATATGTAGATTGCTAACTTATATTGCTGCTTACTTATATGTGATGGTCCCTTTTTTGGTACAAGTAGTTGCCTTTACTTTTTGGCAATGGTTATATTGAACTGATATATTTGAATTTATATCAATTCATTGATATTTCTCTTGATCGAAGTAACAATATACTTTGAAACTTCCATTTCATGTTGTTATTCAGAAGCAAATTCAAATTGTGGAGACTTGTATGATACTGGTTGAAAAAATAGCTAAGAAAATTACTAAGTGTGTGTTTGGTTCTGCTTTAACACCGCACATTCATTGTTAAATTCAAATGCATTTCCAGCTCAAGTTGTTCTAAGTTTCTAAGCCTGATGATTAACAGGGGTTAACTATGTTACAATTTATATAAACCTTAAATTTAAGTTGACAGAATGTTTCCATTTTATATGCAGAAATTTAAATGTGCATTGCATGCCATAACTTTTACCTTTTCTTTTCTGGTTTGGATGAGTGTTTCTCTCTAACTGGACACTTTTAGAATATAAGTATGCGCTTAAAGCTTGCATCCTGATTTGGTTCAATTCTATTTTCTTGTCTTCTAATCCTAGTTATATTTATAGTTCATAAAAAAATTAATTTTTTGAATACTTAGTGTTAAAATCTTCTGTCATTAGTTATTAGAGCGTGGAAGTTTTGCAAAATTTGTAGTTCAACCCAAATATGTTTATTTACCGTATACATATTTTTCTTTAGAAAAATGTCATATCAAGTTTTATTAAAAATGTTCATTTTAGAACACATCATAAAATAAATTTTAAATATAGTCTACCAAAAACATTCATAAAGAATCTTTTAAAATGTTTTATTTACACTTTGTGTAACGTTATTTGCCCCCAATCCTGACAGTGGGACAAATATATTTTGTATAATAATATTATTACTGATATGAACTATTTATCAATTTTGTCATAATCTTAAGTGAACTTATAAACACAGTCTTTCTTTCTCTCTTGTTACAGTAATGTTCAAATGACATTGAATCAACTAAATATTTTTATATACATACATTTAATCTAATACATAATATATATTTTCTAATGTTCATCATCTATTCATCTTACTAGTGTTCATCATCTATTCATCAGGTGATTGTAGAAAAGATGAGTTTTGCACCTCCTCGTTGCTAACTTTGACATTAGCAAGTAATGTCTCATTCAAGTCTAGGACCAAAAGTTTATCTGTTAATACAGAATGTCATTTACATAGCTTATGGTTGAGTCTTAAGCCTTAAGTGTAAAGAATTGCACAATGAATGTGTTGGGACAGAAGATGAAAGAAACATACCTTCAAGTTTGACATTCTGAATGCATTTAACAATGTCTGAGTTAAGAATTGATAGTACTGATTTATGTTCTATTTGAGAAGGAGAAAAAGCAGTATACATATTAAGTCCACCTGTGCATGACACATATATTATGAGAACATAAATATACTCATGCATATCTACAATATGATACATAGAAAGAAGCAAAAGTTTTCCTATTGTTTTAAGTAAACCAGCGTAGGATCACTTTGATGTCACCATTTGGTACATATCGTTGTAAGTGAAAAAATTAGAAGTAGTGAGTGGGAGAGTTTCCACAATATCATTTAACTGTGGTAAAATTCATATTAGGGCTTCACAAAATAGTATTTGATCTAGAACAATCATCCAACATTGGAGATGTCATGCTTTAAGCAGAAGTCATGACTTAAGTTCAAGTCATTCAAGATACACACAAAACAGAGGTAAAATTTTTGGTGATGTATTAAAATTTCCTCAAAGTGATTCTTATGCATGGAAGCAAATCTGGAGATGTGCACCATTGAAAAGGGACAATCAACTTACACTGTTTTAAGGCAATGTAAGCAATCTTTGCAGCATCTTCTTCTGCATCTTTCTTGGATCTACATCCCTTTCCATGAAATTCCACACCCTCTACTTCCAAGGTTGAGAAGAAAGTTGGCATATGGAAAGAACCAGTCTGCATAGTTTTATATGTTGGCATGCGACAACTTTCTTTCTCAGTTAATTTCATTAGTTTAGTCTTGAATGAATCAGAGTCACCCTGAATAAGAGGATACAAATCCATATTCAGTGGTATCAATTTTAATCAAGACAGAACACAAACATACAAGTGAACACATGAACATATTTGACCTTTGAATGCAGTTGATCTACTATTACAACTAAATCAGGCTATCATCTATTAAAAGTATATAAAGACTTTGTACACAAGATAAGAAAAAAAGAAAGCTAACGAGACATTCTATATTCTTTCGTGAAACCATATTCACTATTAGTAAATTTTGGCTTATAAAAATAATGTGTAAAATATTAGGAATTGGAATGCCAATTGATAGAGTTCCGTTTTTATAATTGAACTCTATCAATTAGATGACCATAAAGTATTAAAAAATGTTAATTAGTAACAATGTTAGAAATTACAAGGACACTTACCTTAAAGAAGTCAGGTAACAATGACATTAAATGGGAAGCTTGGTTTGTCTCTTTTATAGTGTTGGAAAATGAAGGGCTTTCTATAGATTGCCCATTAACTAGCACTGTGGTCTTAAAGTCATTGGCAGGAGGCAGGTCCTCAGTTTTACATGCAAACACAGATGAATCAAGACTGTTCATTCTAGCATTGTTCGGCAGCTGGTTTTTGTGAATACAGTCCATACCTAGAATTGAATTGATTGATGTTGTTAGATGTTGAAATGGAAAAGAACAATGGTCACTTGCAAGAACCATTACAAAACTATCATAGATCTTCCAATACAGAAGTGAATAAAATGAAAGGAAGTCAACAAACAACTTTTAAAGATTCCATCAGAACACATTGTTAGAAGAAATTCATTAGTAGTTTCTTTGTATATATGTAGGAACTATTGTCACAGATAACAATAATCTTTGACATACCAGACAAAGATAACTATTTTCTTTTCCTTATTAGAATCTTATATTCCATATACAGCAGAGCTTGCAAGCTAAGTTCAAAAACTAAGGAGGAAATACATTATTGACCATCTATGATAACTTATTGTGCAGGAATTGAACTGTCGTGAGGTTTCACTGCTCTAATTTTCTCTTTTGCATTGTGTTCAGAAGTCTGGATTGAAGAGCCTATACAATCATAGAGCACAATTAATTAGAGCACCATTGTACAAAATTAGGCCAACAACTTCTACCCATGATATGAACCTTATGTAACATCTCTAGTTTCTACCATTATATTGTTTTCTGCTTTATTTTGATATTACAAGACATAATAATATGCATGACAACTATACAAGAAAAGTTTTTTGACAGCATTGATTGAAATAATTCTAAGGGTAGCAAGGAAATCACATTGTCAGTGCTAATTTAAACTCCACTGCAACTAATCATCCACTTTTTATCAAATAAATTTGTAGTTTCTCAAACCATTTCACTGAACAAAGTGACCGTTTCCAAAACAAAATCTCAAATAATTCAGAGAACTGTCGTACTAAGCTATGATTCTAAATCAACACTAAAACAAATCAATCCAAGGAATCAAATAGACAATTCACTTCCCATAACAGAAATTCCCTACCTCAAGACCATCATCCTCATCAAGAAAAAACAGCAAAGGAACCAACTTTCCAAGAAAACAAACAAAACCAAGAAAAGCAAAGAGGTGGGGTACCAGAAGAGAAGCTGAGGAAAGCAACCATGGCAGCTTGGTTTTTAGCTTCTTTAAGGGAACTAGAGGCACTAGAAGAAGTGAAGCTGACACCATTGACATAAACAGAAGCCTTAAAGCTTGGTATGTGATCTGGACCATCTTTGACGGCAGAGTACTTAGGCAAACCCCATCTTCTCTGGTGGCACAGTTCTTGTAACTTTGTCTTGTACATTTTCACCTTCACACACGACAACAGAAAATACTCACCATATAGAAATAGTATACACATGAGAGAAAGAACTAATGTCAATAATTTGAGTCAATCCAGTTTAAAATCTATGCATAAAGGGCTTTCACAATGAAATAAAAGAAATCATATTAGGAATAATTTTTAAGAAAATTATTATAAAAGCCAATAAAATTTACTGGTGCATGTGAAAATTTACCCAAACCAATCTTGAACATCCATGCAAGGATGTATATGTTTATATGGTCATACATTAACATCTTTTTTTTCACTTATTATACATGAGATGAACATGATAAGATTATTTCTTCTCATTTTAATATATTGTGTTAGATTAGATTCTCTAGGGAGAAATGCTTCCTGCATGAAGGAGGGTGGCTATTGAGAAAGACTGAACATTGCATTTGTTGCTTCCATTCTAAATCTATTTTCTGCTTCTTGCCGTGTCAATAATGTGGAATGTATGATCTCTTTTTTACTATGAATTCCAACAAAAATTGTAAGTATATTTTTTAAAACATTATTGTTATTGATATTTATTTAATAAAGAATATCTTCAAGTTTATTTAATAGAACTATTTATAAATAGATAATATTATCTAATATGAGTCTAGTTAATTAAAATCAATAATTATTTATTATATAAACAACTTTGTTTTTTTTTTAATTTAATTAAAATAGTGTTATTATTCATTAATATTATACATCATCATGTGTATTAAATTATCCGTTAATTTTATAAGTATTTTTTAACCTTATAAGTGCTTTGAGATCTTATTTCATAATATATTATCAGGAAGTAATTATTCCTCTATTTTTTATATCATTTATTATATCTTTTTTAATATATAATATGATTATTATTAATTTAATATTCTAATTTTATGTGATACTGAGTATTTAAAAATTCATGAAACTCACATGATTTATTCTGTTTTATTTTTAGAGGTGAATGCGAGAAATATTTTATTTTATATTTTTTTTCATGTGACATTCTCAAAACTGACTGATTTTATTCCTATAAGCAAATGTGAAAAATATATTATTATTATTTTTCACTTTTATAAGTGATTGTGAAAAAAAAAAAGTGGTAGAATATGATGATAATTGTATTTAGTTATCATGTAGTAGATATGATCATGAAAATTTTTTTAAAAATATTTCGTTAGATTTGAGATAAAACGATGAATTTTTTTTTTTAAAAACTTAACATATAAGATGAATTATGATTGTGGTGATAAGTTTTTTTTAATAGTAAAAAAAAATCTTGTTTAAATCTTGTAAGGAATCCATTAAAATAAGAGAAAATTATTTTTACTTATGAGATGATAATTCTGCAATTATATGAATTTTGCTTGTGAAAATGATGATTTTAATTATAGTTATATGGATGTTATTAATATTAATTTTTTATATATATTATATTTTACTCAATCATATAAATCTTTACCGTGATAAGAACATAAATAAATATTTATTTTTATTAAAAGATAATATTTTATATTATTATTCTTAAATTAATATTACATTCTTCATAGTTAATATTATTGAATTATTCATTTACAATTATTTGAATTGAAAGCATTTTAAATCTCTTTAAAATTTACTTTAATTATGGAAATCAAATATATTAATCATATTTAAAATGCTTCTCCTGTTTGTTTAAATAGTATTTATTTGGTTGTCTCCAACAACTTTAGTATTTACTAATGTAATTTTTTTAATAAAATAATTTATATAATTTAATATTTTAATTTTATCTCAACTTTTATACTGTTTATATGGGATATGTTTATTGTGATTATGATTTATAAAAATTATATATATATATATATATATATATATATATATTTATATATAAATTGGTCATTTTGTTACAATATATTTTTATATTTAAAAATCAGTATTAATAATAATTCAATTCACGTATCAGTTTATAGCCAAATCATAAAGAAGACTTATTATTTATTATTTGTAAATATTTTATTAGAACGAAAATAATATTTTGTAAAAGGATGATTGCAATTTAAAAATATATTTTTTAAAAGTAATTTTTTTTAACGTGGAACATTTACATATTTTATGATTAGGGAGAGAATAAAATATATTTAACGTGGAACATTCAACATTAGGGGGAGAATAAACATTTGAAAAAAAATAGTTGAAATGAATTATCATTATTTCAATGTGATGACTTAATGGTCCAAAAGATGAATTTAATATAATTTATATATTAGTTCTAGAAGAACTTAGCTACATGATATTATTATAAAAATTAGAGATAAATTATGTCATAAGTGAAATAAATGGAATTGAAGTGGAATCAATATTGATGAAATAAAAGAGAATTAGACTATCTTGATATGAACTTATAGTTTATGCACATAAAAGTGTTAAAATAATTATATACAAGTGACTCTTTTGTCCATCAGAGAAATGAAAATGGTGAAGTTACGAGATATAAAACACAGTTGATTATTTAACAATATTTTACTATCTCTAAATTTTTTTTAATCAATTATAATTAAGGCATATATTTGTAGATATTTAATTAATCTATTTGCATATAAATGATTCATTTTGCATCTAATAGTTATTGTTACAACCGGTTTTTTATATGAACCTTTATTTGGGTCATAATGTAATTCACAATTTTGGTATTTTCTTCTTGAAATGTGAGCTTGTATTCAAATAATATAGATAACATTTTTTGAATAATTTTTTTTGCTTCCCCTACTCTAATCCTTGTCATAGGTCTTCCAAGTCTTTAGGTGAATCTTTGTCCTTGCTCATGATCACGTCCCCATCAATTTTCTTTGAAAATAATATTTATATGAAAATTTTTAATAGATTTAATTTGTCAAATGATGTAAATTTTATAGATGATTATTCAATCAAGTTGAATAAGTTCATTTATAGATTTAAGAAATCAAGATGTATGTGATATAATATTTTGAGTATTTTTTTCAAATGCATTAAAATGATATCATTTTGTCTTTTATGTGAAAAATGAATTTGCTATATTTGTTGTTTATGTTAAAACTCTTAAAATAATTGATTGCTTTTATTCTTAAATTCTCTCCCATTATTGATTTCAAACCTGAATAATTAATTTAATTTGGAATATTTACTTAATGTAGAAACCTTAAAAGTTGTACGTGAATAAATTACATTTATTATACACTTTAATTATTATTGAAAGGTATTTAAATGTAATTAAAGATACCTTTAGATTGGAAGAGAAAATGAAATTTTTTTGTCTTAAGCACCATACAATTATAAGAGTATTATACTAATATATCTTGTTAACTACACTAAACTTGTTATCACATTTGTTGTAAATTTATTAGCAAGATATAGTTCTTCATTTATAAGAAAATATTTTATATAGATGCATATTATTTATCATGTGCCCGTAATTGACTATCACTAATGACAAATTTTGACCATTAATTTTTGTATGAGGAGAAATAACATATCATTACTAAATAATAAAAGAATACGAAAAGACAAGAATATGAGAAGATGAGAGAATATAAAATATTATATTATTCAATATATTTAATGTTTTGTTTTAATATATATGGTAAAAAAATTAAATAAGGGATTAAAATTCTAAATATATAAAAAAATATATTTATCATCATTAAATTTTGGGATTAAAATTGTAAATATATAAGTAGGTTAAAATTTTTTTAGACCATGATCACTCTACTTTCGGAGAAGATCCTCCAATTTTGATCATAAAAAAGATATTTGTTCATAAGTGTTAATATTGCAATTATATGACAATTTATGAAATAAAGTATTATAAAATCATACATAAATTTTAGCAACATTATCAATCTATGCAATAAACTTGTTGTCTATTGAGAAAACTAACGTTAATACTGTATATGACAACATGCATTATCTTGGATTGAAAGAAAGATGGATTAAATGAGATAAAACAAAACATAATTCTCCTAAAATGAATTTTGATATAAAAATCTAGAATATTCATTTATGTGAAATTTAACACATCTATTTACAAAATAATTGTGAAGGTAAACTTTTTGGTTCTACATAAGAGGGGAAAAATTAATATATTTTGAAAATGTATTGAATAAAGATGTAGTCTCTTTCCTTTACTATGTTTTTATCCACGAGGTTTTTCATATAATAAGGTTTTCATCCACAAGGTTTTTCATATAATAAGGTTTTAAAGAGATATGTTCTCTTGAAAGTATTATGAATTATTATTCAGTCCATTGAATTATCCATTGATTTTATGGTATTTATCATCATTTATATGATTTAAATATTTGTAATATTTATTCTTTGGATTGCATTTTAGACCAATAAGATATTGGTAAAATATAAGGAATATGGATATCTTTATTTCTTTTATTTTTCTATGTCTTGAAATTTTATTTTTTAAAGCTTTTTGAGTTCTTATTTCATAATAATAACCAGTTTTTAACAATTTTTTTTAATTTTAAAATTCACAACAAAATGTGAATCTTATTAGAAAAACTCATGCTATTATGAAAATAAAAACTTTATTTATAACAATACAAGAGATTTAAAGTTAGGGAGTTTTGTTAAAAAGGTAGAAACTCAATTTCTTTTATATGTTATAAAACATAGTTAATTGCACTTATATTATATTAAATATATATATATATATATATATATATATATATAAAATAATAATCAATTAAAAAAATATTTAACCAATCAAATCAATATTCAAGATGAAATAATTTATTCAAGACTACTCAACAATCATCTATAAAATTTCTTCCACAACTTTTTATTAATAAAATAGGGATTATTATATATCCATCCTTCACTTATCAAAAAAATGATGTTGAATAAGTGTTATGTGATGTGTTTGCATGGTTAAAGTACACCTTGATAAAAACGTTCTTTGAATCTAATATATTTACTGAAGAAGTATGAAAATTGAAAGAATGAATGGAGAGAGTTTGGATAGAAACGAC